ATGAATAAAACAACTTACAGTTATTTCATATTTGCTGTTAATTTTCTTTTTAATGGGAAATTAGGTCAATCAATCACCTAAATATTGACTAATTGAATGAATACAAGTGATTTGAATAGTCCTAACAACAACAACAACAACAAAAAAAACCCTGAAATATTCCTGTTATAATTTTCTCGAAAATCACTCCAAATGAATTTTAATGAAAATAAGTTAGTATGAGAAAGGGTTGTGTAGATATTATAGTAATTTTAATAGTTGAGATCATAAGTCAATTGAAGCTAGACCACCATGGGAAAACATGGAAGCACTGGACAGTCGTTTCGATCTATTGTGAGACTCCTCAGCAGTGCGTTAGTTAGTAAGTTAGTTGGTCAGTGTTTATTTTAATTACTTTTCTATTCATTAACAAAATAATTATTTTCCTATTTTTACGCATAATGAAAATAATATGTTCCCTATAAATTTATGGACAATTAGATTTAATATATCCTAGAATTCCGTCGATTTCACTATTTATGTTTGATTGTAAATAATTAATGAATTAACATTCAATTGATTATTATAATTAACAATAAAAAAATATTCATTAAAGTTCATTATTCATTTCTTGTCAAATGTAAATAGATAGACAGATATATAGATTTTGTTAAAACTTGATAGATGTATTTTAACATTAACAAAATTTGTTGCATCAAAAATAATAAAATCAAAGTACTTCTTGTTGAAATATCATATGCAAAGAGAAAGATATTACGACATGTTCAATATGAATAATTATTATCTTAGTAAGAAATATTTCAACAGTGTCTATCCACGACATTAACAGGCATAGAAATTCTAACCACTGAAATTATTAGATTTAAGTTAAGTGGTATAATTCCAACTTTAATCAATCTGTAATATAGTCCAACAACAATCTAATGCCATTGATGAAAACTGTCTTATTTCCATTATGTCTAAACTCTATCGGTTATGAGTACGTACTAGAACTTTTAGAGTATTTTGAAATTATCAAGGAGCTTTAAAGAATACAATCTACAAATTAAGCTAATCTCGATAAATTTACATTATTATTTTGATCGAAAGTCTATCTTAATAATAGAATTCATAGCTTTGGTTTTGAAATACATGTTTTATGTACTCATGCCAACCAAATAACGATTCAGTATCTTAGAAATTAGGTACAGCTTAAAGTATATGTAGCTTAATTACTCCATTCAGCACATTAACTTCGAATATCATTCGAATTTTGGTACAAGTGTATGGTTTAAAGTTGATCATAGTGGTTTACTCTCACACTTTCAGCATTTCGAGCATGACAACATAGTCGCTCCGATTTCTTGAGATGTCATAAAGTATTTTGAATAACTATTTTAAAAACTGTTCTTAATGCAATGTAATAGTTATTACAGAATTACTACTAAAACAACTGACATTTACACTTCGCAAACTGACTTGTAACATGTTTCCTTTTTATTAAAGAAGCTTAGTAGTAAGCGTACCTAATAAGAACTGTAATTCAAGTTTCAGAGGTTTGAAGTAAGAATACCAAAATTATATCAAAACTCAACTATCAGTGACCGATATTTATAAATTTTTCTCAAAAAATCCATTTGTAATTAAAAGTATTACCTAGCTAATCGCATCCCATTAACAGATGATCTGAATTATATATATATATATGCACTGAGGAAAAACAGAGAAAAATTCCACCCAAAAGGCATTTCTGTTAACTAAGGTACTGAACTAACATTTCCAACTGTGGCGATGAATGGGATAATGGGTAGAAATTCTTAAATGCAGGTTTCTGAACTAATTAAAATTTAGGTTCATACATACTGTTAATTACCTACAACCATTCAAAATTCAATAGAGTGCATTAAAATGTCAGATCACCTGACTTGTGCACATTTTGTACATGTAATAGATGTCATTAGACCAAATCTGTAAACTAAATGACTAACACTATTGGTCAAAGTAAAATATGAGTGATTTGTGCAAATTTGATCAAACAACAATAGTAGAATGATAGAAACATGGTTTATTCAGAAAGTAAAATGTAGTACACACAATATATTGAACTAAAAACAAATTATTCCGAGTTTATAAATTAAAGATATGGAAAGTTTCAAGGTAGTTTTTCACACAGGTTGAATATAGTAAGAACAACTTAATCATAATGACTGAGAAGTGCCAATTACCAGTATAAACTCCAATTATTTAAAACGCAATATTGCCAGCTGTCGGTTCTCAATGTCACGGGGTCAAATCTGTGTGAAACTAATCATACTGAGAAAACTGGAAATACAATAACACAGTTGTCTGTTACTTCTACACAGTTTATTTACGTAATCACCCGAAAATAAAATATTTCAGGGAGAGTCTTACATTCCTGCCTTTACATCTGTTCATCAAAAAACTTACAGGATTATTAACTTTTATTAGCCAATTAATTATGACTGAGTGATAATAATCAGAAAAGAAAACAGAGAAATAAAAAATCGATCGCAACCAAATTTGCATACATGTCTACTATGAATTATTAAACAATATGACTGATACAGGTCATCTATGAAGAAGTTAATATAGGTTACAAATGGATATACACAACACAACTTTTTATTGATTACAAATATAACAACAATTGGGACAATAAAGCTTTTTTTGAACCAGTTTAAAAACGGTCATTTCGTAGTTTACCTTTGTTTTCTGACTCCACACTCACGGTGATAATTAAATATACTACAAGAAAATCCCTGAATAACCTAAATCAAATCATCGTTACACTCAATTTCCCCCATAAACTTTCTTTTCAGCTTTATTAATTCAAAGATTAAGTAGTATCTTATTGCTAGGAAGACTGCAAGTTATCTAGTTCTTTCCCGTAATGACAACCACGAGCATATTTTTATTATTTCGTATTTCTGTATGATGATTGTTTTCTAATTGGCTACTATCGCTAATTTTCCCATATTCCCCACGGTTATATTATCGTCCTATATACAAAAAGATGTCTTCAATTTTCTGTTTTTGTTGAATATCAATCTTTTGCTATACACATGTCTTGATTTTAGGTTCCATTATTTGATGATAATTGTTGAAACGTTTTGTTAGTGGCCGTACCATCGAGTTGGTATTAGTTCCTAACCATATTCAAAGGATCTCAGTAGTTTGTAATTAGCAATTATCATAAACGCAACCGAGTGAACCACACGGTTTAACACATAAAATGAATGAATAAGAATCATAGGCTATGAGATAGCTATCAGATTTCAATAAATGGACAACTAACTACGTCACATTTATATGATCATTGATGCAGTGAACATTGAATAGAAGATTATATACGACTACAAATTGAGTTTCAGAGCCAAAGTTTAGTAATCAAAGTGCTCCGCTTTCAACCGAATTACTGGTAGTTTCTGAACTCACTCCACCACATATTTCGGTTTGGAAAGCTGTGAGTAGTATAGCTAGTCTTCATAAAAACAATGTGGGTCAAATTTGAGTCCATTACTTTGGTACTGGGTAGATTTGGTGGCCAGAGATTATATCAACTCTAAAATTATACATAATTTGAATCTAAAATCAACTGAAATTTTACTTAAAAAGTACTTTCGCCTAATCATTTTAAAACACTTAATGAAGTCTTCACAATTATACCGAAATATTCGGAAAGTTTTAATGTTTTGCCAGATTCATATGCAAGATTATATTTTATGAATCGTGAAACTTTGATTCCTCTATATTAAAAGATATCCTTTTAATCTGTTTACTCTCACAATGGATAAAATTTTGAAAGTAATACTTTGTTATATGATATATTTGAAAATTCACTAACTTATTACTCATTCGAGTGAGAAACAAGAATTATTGAACTAGATATTGTAAATTTACGGCATACAAATGTCAATATCAATGATATAGATTACAGATTGTAACCAACTTTCGTAAATATATATAATGAAGCATATCAGTACATGTTTATGCACTCAGCTTTGAATGACACAAATTGAGTAAAACCTCGTGACATCCAATCCCTAATATCGAAACAGGTGGACAGGGATTCGAACTTACGAGATAATGGGTGAGAATTTTAGTGCATTAATCAACAAACGGCTGATCAACAATTTTACACACCAACTACTAGGTCTGGTTTTTTGAGCCAAACTACACTATCTACTGTTTGATCGAACGAGTAGTATCACTAGCCCAACAAAAACTTTTAGTCTAAATCCTAGTGCATAAATCGGTAAGTGGTTAGTGAATTACAATAACTTTAGTTAATCTGTAGATTATTTACCGGTAAATGTGTTTTGAAGTAGTTTTTATTAATAAATTGTCAAGCTTCATGGATAGTAAAAATAGCTTATACTCATAACTATACTGGATACGAGAGAATAAATCTTTACGAATGAATATAAGCTACAATTACAATCTGCTTTAAAACAAAACTTCATACAAGAAAACTCAAAAAATGAAAGCTACTGAAGAGCTACTTCAACTGATTCAAAGAATATACGTAGTAAGAGTAATATTTACATTTAAACAATAAAAACTCTATAATTATTGACAAGTTACAACATTTATTCATTAATACTTTATAAATATTATCAGAAGGGGTTTTGTGATTTTAGAAATTTCACTAGTTGAAATCATGAGTCAATTGAAGCTAGACCACCATGGAAAAACTGGAAGCAATGGACTCCCATTTTGTCCTAGTATATAATATACTAAAGAAAATGTACTGAAGATAAACTGTGTGTAGTAGTGGTGCTTAAACCTTACTATTCAACTAGTAGGTAACAGATCCGAATTCTGTCCTTTTTAATTCAGTTTCAGCAGGCAAGTATTATTACTAGTCCTTGTAAAAAAAAGTGTGGCTCGAAACCAGCTCTATGTAAACCGGTATACTGAGTAAGTCAATATTACATCATTTTGGTGGTAATATCAACAAAAAAGAAATAATAACTAGTGAAATGTAAACAGAAACCAACCTGTAAATATTTCTTAGGGATCGATGTAGATGAGTCTACTTGCAAGAACATGATATTATCTGCTTCTTGAGAAATTTTACCACCACCATATAAACTGTTAATTGAAAGTAGACGACCAGCTTCTTCCTATTTAAAGGTGAAACTATATTAAAAAATAAGAATTTACTTTTCGAGGATGAGCGACGATTGTAACATGTGTACCTTTTTCAGTGGCAAAAGCACGTAATTCTTGTACATAGTGGTCTTGACGCTGAAAACGTTCCACGAAAGCACCATCACCGGCGCCTAGTAAAAATTGTAAATTATCGATAACTATGTGTTCTACGCCAGAATCTTTGACACCAACCTCCATAGTCTACATATAAATATTAAAGAAAAAAAAAGAACTAATCAAATAAACGAACAAATTTTATCAATATTTGATGTAAACCATAAGCTTGTTATACATGAATATAAGAATAATCCGTATAGGGACCATATTTGACGTTCAAGAACAACAATACATATGCACCAAATGCATGCCTTGCTTAAATATGCTGTAGTTTGATGTAACTAAGTGGAAGCCCTCAACCCAGGTTATGATAGCTTAGACCAACCAATATAGGATACTTGTTGTTTTTAGGGAAACTGATTTTTCTCATGGGATTTTATCTGGCATTATGGAGTGCTGCAACTAGAAACTTAATCACCGAGTTATTTAGGTTGATATTGACCTATTCGATCACAATCCAGCCTGATCGGTGAAATTTCATCAGCTCTAAGTACTAGATAACATAACATTTATTCATACAGGTGGTTGAAAGCATTTTTCCGGAGCGGGTACTTATAGACTAATCTAAACTGGAACATTAGATTCTCAGTTTTTAGGAGGACCATAGGTTACTACTTTTTAAACAAATTGCTTCACTTCTTTCGAATTTTTCCCGGACAAACAATCTTACTTTGGTAATATTGCCTATATATCTAAATATACGCTTGCTTCAATTAACTAATTAATGTTCTTAATTTTACCGTTGAAAAATGATAGTTGAGGATTATTGAGATCACGAACCGATCTAAGTTACACAGCCACAAAAATCTTGCAAGGACTGGGTGGTCGTTTCACCCTATTACGGGTCTCCAGAACAGTGCACATCCACGATGTTGCAAACGAGCGTAGAACCCAAAACCTTCAGTCTTGTGGGCGAATATCTAACCAATAGACTACTGAGCCGGGATCCAACGATGTACAAGTCTAACTTCAGTCCACGACATTGGGCGACCATTTCCCGTTGTCTCTGTTGAGTATCTTTCTCATACTTGACACATATTGGCTCTATTGACCACAAGTGTCCGGTACTTCCAAGTTTTCAATGGTTGTTTAACTTAGATCGTCTCGTGATTTAAATGAAATTCAACAATCTTCACAATCCCATACTGAAAATGATGGCTAGTTATAGACATTCACAAGGCAGATTCCAAACAGTTCCAGCAAATGTATGGATCATAGTCAGGTGATTTTCTGTTATGCATTATTACCTCAACATATAAAGTAAGTGATATTGCACAACTAAACAAATATTTTAATCATAATAACATTGGTCCAAAGTTGACAGTTAGTCTAACTCAGTATAAATCCACTAACGGTACGAAGATGGATATTTGTAGGCAAAACTAATTCATGATAATAATACATGAAATTGAAAAATTTCAATTCTACAAGGAAATGTGAACAGTTAAAAGCCACAATGATGTATGAAGGGTGTAGAACTAAATCATGATGCAAATGATAGCAATCCAGGATTGTGTAACTTCCTAACACCTCTAACAAAAAAAGATATAAATGGATCTTTGGTTTATTGTGCTATATCATTTGAATTATATGGCGTATCACTATACAATATAGTGCAACTCATTTAACGAAAGTTGATGAATAGGACTTTAAACCACACACTGGTTATTTCATTATGAAAAGAACGGAATAACATCGCCTTTACTCAACACTACATCCCGTCAAATTACTACTCCATATGTCGGAAATCAATATAATAATCTCGTACATAGTGTATTATATATATATATATATATATATATATATATATATACTCGATGCTTAATTTTTGTGAAACTATTACCTCGAATATTAAATGAACTTCAAAGAAGACACTTCCCTTCTACAAAGAAACCACAAAAAGAACAAGCCTAAAAACAGTATATGTATCACTGTATCTCGTAACGTAACAAGCTTTTTTGAATTCTATAAACTTGTAAATCTGTCTCTCAAAAAACAGAACTATCAGCATTTTGTATTTTGAATTCTACTGGTAGGTTTAAACAAACTAAGAATAACAAGATTAGCTGATTAAATTTATTTTACTTCACAATTTAACGGTAACCAGTTTAAAATTACAAATTTCATTCGATTAAGTTCAACAAAACAACATAATTTCGAAAAATAATCGAATAATAATCAGTAATGAGTAATAGCCAGTAATATCAGAAAAATATGGAAACGAAAGTAGAATAGATTGTAACAGAAACTAGTTGATAATTTGTAGGTGTCTAAATGGAAAGTTTTAAAATGCTGAATAATGAGAAATACAAGCACTATGTTATTGAAATCAACTATCAGACTACGCAACGTATGAGAATAAAAGAACAGTAAGATTGGGGATTTCCAAATGCTTTTTGAAATTTGCTGAAGCGATAGAGATCAAACGTCTAGAACTAGATCTATGTATCCAAAAAGAGGCAGCAATAAATCTTTCTTTCCCCTGGTAACATTACACCCATTTTTTATTTATTACGTCATTCGTCATTTCAACTCTTTCTGAAGTTCGATTACATCATTGTCATTATTCTTCAATCCATATCCTTCTCTATTACAATTAATCTGTTTTTAGTTGCTTCGTTACACAATCATCTAATGTTTGTTAACTTCATGAGTTTTAGTCGCTATTTCAATGTTCTAGAACTTTCACTTCCAAACTTCATTTATCTGAAACAAAATTTTTTATGACATTAACTCTATCGGAATCGTCGTTACATCATGATACACATATTCATCTCTAATTAACCTCGTATTTATAAGTACGTCAATATCTGTAATATTATGGTTTGTAATCAGCTGATGAAAACCTAACGAAATAAATTCATATATTATTCTGCACCAATCTTCGTTCTTGCACTCTTTAAAAGTGAATTAAGCTGCACATAACTCAGAATTAAAAATAAATGATAGTGCTGTTGGGAAGAACACTATAGCAGCGAAAAAACACATGCTCTGAATAGTGGTTTACTTATAGTATTATATCAGATTCAAGCATAGGTTGCCAAAAACATTTTTTGAGTCAATGGAGAAAATTATTCTTGGCAAACGTATTATAAATTTTTTTGGAATAAACTCTTATACACAAGAGGAATTAGTAGTTAATGATATTCAGTTTTAGATAACCACATTTTGATGGACATTATGCTTTATTTTCGCTTGCCTACATATTTAAACTCACTTCGTCAATCTAGAACTACTCTATGTTTAAGCTACTGTTCGGTACATATAGTTCTCTCTTGTATATTATCTTACTCAATAACTTTACTGCTTCATTTGAACTTATATTTTGAGAATTTAACTTGTTACTCCTTTCTAATATATAATAAATTTTGTTTTAAGATGAGTTTTGATATTTCATTTAATAGTTGTATTGCATCAAAAATTAAGTGCATTATCAGTCTACTTGAAGTAGTATGTTGTTTAATTGACCAAGAAATAATTGCATTACCATGAGATGCTAAAAAAAACGTCATAATTCTCAATTTTCTAACTCTTAATAATCATGCTATATGATTAATTTCAATAGCATTTCTTTACATTATTTCCCCAGTTTTATTCATTTATTTTGCTAATCTCATCATTTCTAACTTGTTCAATTTCTCCAGACACTTATCTACACTACGCGTTAGTAAAACAAGTAGTTTTAGAAATAATAGCAAAGTGAAATTCATATCTAAAGCGGTCAACTCGAGCTACACAACGTAGCTAATATAAACGAATGGAAAATATCAAACTAATAAACCAGTACATACGCTAAATCACTTGCAGTGTGTTGCTGTGACGAAACCTGGATGTGAGACTGAAACCAAATTTAATGACAAAACATATATTTAAAGTAAAAACAAAGATGGAAATGTCAACAGCACCAATTAGTCAGTTCAAACGCAACGTGTAGACTGACATACGTGCATCAGTTCAAATCGAAATATCACTCCTACATAGCGAGATGTCAGAGGTGAATAAGTAGTAAAAGTATTAGTAACAGTGATAGAAAATATAAGGCTTAAAAGGTATAATTCGATAATAAAATGTTGATTATTGGGATGAAAAGAATTTTAAAAGTTCAAAAACAATTAGAGAACCAAGGATCAAAAGGGAGACAAAAAGTGGATGCACTTATTCCTAAACCAACTATCATCGTGTGTCAAGGTAGGTGGTGGTTGGGCACATGGAACACATATCCTAACCACCTCAACCAACAGTAACAAAAACTCCTGTTCTTAAAACTGCAGTTTAAAGGTGACGGTCAGTAAAGCTAAGAAACATCATCTTAGGAATTTGTCGAGAAAAATTCATTGCTGTAAAATCAGTTCTGTTGTCCCTTAGTTAACCAATATTGATTCTACTGAATAAAAATAAACAGTTTAGCTCCACCAACTCATTGTGTACTTATCAGTTCAACAGCTCTTATAGAGTCAATTACAACAGGTTTACTTGTTATATCCACATGTAGGTTTCTATGCATTCAGTCTTGATAATGGATTTCTATTCTCTTTAAATCACTGAAGTCAAAATCAGGATTTCGATAATCTAGACATCAACAGGTTTCACACCTTAATTTGAATGGACTTTGAAAGTTACATAGAATGACCGGTGCCTTAGTGGTTATGGAGTTTGATTTTACACCATCTAGTTGCAGATTCGAACACTGCTCCCCTACTTTGATTTAGGCAACCAAGTAGCATTATTATCCTAGATACGTAGAGTGTGCCTTATATCTAAGCACCTGGTAAATGAGTTTATTCATCCCGCCCTAGTCAGAACGAGTATCAGACACGTGCATATGTGAGTGTACAATAGCGTGACTAAATGCGGTCAAAGTTATGATCTCACAAGTGAAATAAGTGTACATCTAACTACTTCTTTCTAATGGGATAATTAGTTGGATCAAGTGTACTATGAGACTAACTTTTTATCGTATAAAATACTACACTAAGTTATATATTGAGTGATGTTTTAGTAGGTGATTTAGAAGTATTGTTGTTTGATTTACAACAGGCAATTAAAAACTGCTAACTACAGAAATCCATAGATAATAGCGTGGATATCCAGAAAATTTGTACTCAGATATGGAAGTACAAAACCTTTTAATAAATTCATTGGGATTAAGAATATTATTCATACGACCTTAGTATGTTTACACCACCTGACATAATTTTGAGTCTAAATCCACTATTTAAATAAATCTAGACAGAAATCGCATTTAATGTTTATCACATCTTAATTCTCAACAACTTATGGGTGTGATAAAGAGTAAGTTAGACAAGATCACATTTACATTCAATAAATCGCTTTGCTTCATTACTTTTAAATACCGTTTGGAGGTAGATGACATTCGTATGCTTTCAAATAGGTTACAGTTGAGCGAATGCATCTATTCTTCATCTTTCAATTACTTAAGACTCTACCACTCACTCATTGTTCCCAACCCAATTTGTTTACGTTTAGTATTTTTTAAATCATCTTAGATGCTACTACTACTTAGGCTTGCTATGCATTTTGTTAGTTTGACCTAGCTGTAATAAGCAGTGGAAACTTGGGTGTGTGAATATGTAATTGACAGCGTTCTTTATAACTGAAATGAATAGCCGATTTTCAGCCTAATCATTTAAAGTATACATTCATTAACTAATAATGATTAATGCAACCCATTCGACTTATACTAATAGTTTGTGACTTAAGTGACCATTTTCACGACCCCGTAATCGAGTATAGGGGTGTATTGGACTATGCCTAACATGTACTGCTGACGTGTTTTTCTCTAAGGCAAGTGCAGTATGACCTAAAACTAATGAGTATGTGGAAATCGGTCTTGATGAGCCTGAATCGCTAATAAATATAATCAGAGCCAAGAATTAATTTGTAGTTATCGCTCTTTAAACCACAATAATTGGCTGTCAATTTATGTTAAAATTAACTACGAAGAACTAAATCAAGTAAACATACAGAAGAACACAAGAATATAACGTCACAATATCAATCACCTTTAATACTTCTGTCAAACTTTGAGCCCCATGTAAGTTCATAAAATATATAGGAATGTTTTCGCTAAACATACGTGCCCATTCAGCGATTCTGCTGGGTATAGGAGGATCTAGTGGCTCACTGAATTAGCCTTAATAAAAAAGAATTGTCAAATTACCCTGCGAACTGTTGGACTAGTGTCTTACACACTTTCCGCAGAGGCATTTCAAAACTACCCCAAAGTGTCGGAACTCCCTGTTCAGCCAAATCAAGCGAGTACTCGCACATGAAAGTCGTTTTACCAACACCAGTATTTCCTGACAAAACTGTCATTTCTTGAGTACGAAAACCTTTGATTATACGATTAAGCTCAGTAAACCTAGAAAACTAAGTCGAGGATGACAAATATTTATTATCAAGTACTGGTATTCCTCTAAGTTCAGTAACTCTTGACAACTCGTTTACGGTTGCTCTTAATAGATCTCCATCCAACCGCAAAACTCTGCTCATTTGAACCACATGTGTCCTTCAAAGTCAAGTAAACGCCTTCATTTAACCCTGAAATCAAATTCAAACTGTTTAATGGTTCAAATGGTTCTGGACGGAACAGAAAAACCTTCTCTCAATGAACCTCCATATCTAGTTACAGTGGATTACCAATGCTTCCAGTAAGTAACTTAGAGTTATTAAACAAAAACATAAGAAAAATAGTAGTAAGTAATGGTGTGACAATATCCTTTGTTCCTAAGAATATGTCGTTTTCTCTTTGTCATGAGCTTGAGTAAACCGGTTAACTTCTTTGAGCCTGCTTTTTGTTATCCCGTTAGGGACCCGGATACCAGCAGCTATCACAACACCGGACAGCAGTTTGATCGGCTGTAATGTGAAAATAATGTAATGATAATTCGAGTGCTTAAAAAGACAGTAGTTTCAAGAAAGAAACAAATAAACACGTTAATTAAACAATGGTGCAGATGGTTTGTAAAGACGAAATTCAAAGAATAAGGAAGGAACGGAGATGATAGCAGGAGAGATAGGAAGTATTTACTGACGTACGATAATGATAACCGTGGTAAATTAGGAAATATGCATCAAGCACATCTGGTTAAAGGAGGAAATAATAATCAGTATAAAGGCGCCATAAGCATTTGAGGTTTGAAATATACTAAACCAGCCAAATGGGAAGTTGGAAATGAAGGGGTTTGATGATATATTCGAAAAGATATCGATTTGTCGAGAAGCGTTTGATGTAAGCTGGCTAGTAGTTCCAAGGGATGAGTAGCATGATGTACCAACTCGTGGTCTGGTGTGGCTTCAGCTAGGGTGTGTTCAGTAAGTTAGATTAGGTCAGCATCGGTGTCTTAGAATTACAGAACTATTTATTAGGGGATATATTCACCACTACAACTGTGTGAGTACGTACGCGTCATGTCTCCAACTAAAGCTACCCACTAAGAAGGCTGTAGTCAGTTCGGCCGAGAGAGCATTTCAAATAAGGCACCTTGTGATGATAGAAAGTGAGAACTGTAGAATCCAAACTACGGTCTTGAATGCTGAATAGACTCTCAGGTAGATTAGACACGCGCCCTTGCCCGTCAAAATCAAAACAAGTAATCGGGTAAATAGCGGTTCTGTAATGGCATTGGACCATAACCACACAATCTTCAAAGCTGAACACAAGACTACTCAGAAAATAGATATTCAATATTTAACACGGAGAAATACCTAACAATGGAGAAGGCGCGAACAATGAATGGAACGGACTGGAGTAGATCGAGTGGCATGGCTCGGCCATGCAGGCGTGGTCTCTGCTGAATGTTACCTTATATCTTCTATTCATATTAAATATATTGTTCTTTCTCTAGCCTAACCTTGTTCTACATCATGTATTGGTAATTGATACAATACAGTGAGTTGGTGTAGTCCATGGTGTGACTTCCACGTAAGATCTTATAGATTAGGCAGTTATATCATGACAAATCTACAAATTTAGGATTAGGTCTATTATTAGAGCAGTACTAATATCATAGTAGACAATAATTCTACAGTTCTAAACAAATATTACCACCCGGCTATTCAACCAATAATTGTTCAGCCAATCAAATCAGTCACAACAAATGAACGCTATTCTATCCTGACTGGACAGAACATACACAAAAGGAGTATGTGGTGTTTGAACGGACTAATAATACCTTTGTACTTGTTGAATTCTCGATTTCGAATTCCAAATACAAAACACTCATTTGTGCTTGTGTCTCACTTCTTAATTCAATTTCGTTATTTCTGGGACTCTTAGTTCGTGCCATAATTCAAAACATTATATTGGCGTTGCGATGGAGCCTGTAATGGAAAAGTTAGATATTCATTCAACTTCAGAAGCTTTTGAAGATTACTTTGAAAGGTTCGAAATCTGGGCTATGAGCAAGGAAGATGATGAGGATGTTAATATTGTGGCACATTTCCTCACATTCATTGGAAAAGAAGCATACAGCCTATTAAGAACTCTAGCTATGCCGGAAAAGCCCATTTCGCCTCCTTATACAGCTCTCAAGGAACTGCTACTAGACTATGTTCAGTATACAAGTTTCGAATGCGGTAAAGGAGAGAGATCTCGTAAAATGATTCATGAGGATATAAAAAATTCCACTACATTACGTCATTCCAACGCAGTTCATACTCAAGTTTATGCAGACGATTCATTGAGGAGATGCAATGCATTTCACGAAGATGGGCTCAAGTTTAGTCAGTGTTTATCCTGTTGCAAGTTCCACTCTTTGAATTCATGTCAATTTTGTAATTCAAAGTGCTTTAAATGTGGTGATATTGAACATATTCAGTCAGTCTGTAATACTACTGTTCATCTTGCTGCAACTAATATTAATTCATGTAATTCTGATTCTATTAAGCTGATTATATATAGTGATCATTTATCTTTATCAACGATTTCAAAAGACAGTCCAGAGTCATATGGCAGTTCAGAGTTAAATGAAATCCAGAATTCTTGTGAGACAACAGTTCCTAATTAACCGATTTATCAGAATTCTCATGCTATTGTACCAGGTGTAGGATCCAAACTACGGTTTGGATGTTGAAGAATAGCCTACCGGGGACTTTAGACACGCGCCCTTTTCCGTCGAAATCAGAACAAGTAATCGGGTAACTAGCGGTTCTAAACAAATATTATCACCCGGCTATTCAATCAATGATTGTTCAATCAATTAAATCAATCACAACAAATCAACGTTGTTCTATCCTGGCTGGATAGATCACACACAACAGGAGGAACAAATCAATATGGCTACTGCCAAGAACAAGTGTCAAGCAAAACAACGCAGATGCAGTTCAGGAAGAAACACAAACATAGTGAAAGCGTAATAAAAACAAAAACTATAACAAAAATACAAATATTAACAATTCAAATGTAATCAAAATACAAAAATGTACAACTGATGCGATCAATAGGAATAAAGTACAAGTATATACATGGAGGGATTTTCACCAACACATAAAACCTTCAAAATGGATCTTACACCAGGTATGACTTTTCCTAATGATTCACATATTTCTAATGAAATTACTTGCAATATTGAGGAAAATATGTTAAATGAATTTAATCATGATCGGAAACCTGATGTGGTTTGGATAGATGCTGGTTTTTCTAACGATCCTACGCCCTGCAATGACAGTCCTAATGAATTTCATGAGAATATTTCAGAAGAACCAAATCCTGATGTCATATCATATATTACCTCTCCTCATAATGCACTCGATCCTTGTGAAAAACCTGCTCAATGCGAAGCACGAGTACTAAGTGTTCTCCAGTTTGATTACATTTCGGATGATTTCATATCAACTGCTGTTTACCCTTATCACAAAAACAGTTCTAATGTTTACTCTAAACAATGTGAGAAATATGTTTTAAATGAAGCCACCTTATTCATAACCTGGGGATATAAAATCCAACATTATTTCGTGGTGGAGGATAGTGTTGAAAAATCTATGGTTCGAATTCTAGATATTAATGATTTCATTACAAAACCGACATGCTGGTTGTATACAATTCCAGGTGAGTCTGTTCCGATTTCGTTTGTTAATTCCAATACTAATGAGCACTTTCTAGATACTACAAAGTTTTTATCCAATACAATGTCGGACAGACTCAGGATGAACTTAACAAGAAGACGTACAACCGATTTCAAACACTTATACTTCTATTTAAGCTGTGGCGGATGTGGTGTTTGAACGAACTAATAATACCTTTGTACTTGTTGAATGCTCGATTTCGAATTCCAAATACAAAACACTCATTTGTGCTTGTGTCTCACTTCTTAATTCAATTGCGTTATTTCTGGGACTCTTAGTTCGGGCTATAATTCAAATAATTCAAAACATTATAGAGTAGCAAATCAATATGGCTGCCTCCAAGATCAAGTATCAAGTAAAACAGCATGGCTGCAGTTCGGGAAGAAACACAAAACTGAGTTAAGGCGTAAGGAAAACAAAAACTATAATAAAAAATACAAATATTAACAATTCAAATGTAATGAAAAGACAGCAGTGTACAACTAAGGGGATCAATAGGAACAAACTGCAAGTACATACATGGAGGGATTTTCACACACACCAAACATTCAAAACGGATCTTACAAAAAAGTAACTGAATGTTTGCTATCTAGTGTAACATCTTTTGAGGGTTGCCTTGAGGAGCGCGGTAACGAGGTTTTATTTAATTATTTATTATCAATGGCCTTATTCAATATTATACTTTCGGTGCAACATAGAATTTTCAGCTCAATGCATTTCAACAAAAAAGAAAAAATGTTTAAAGAAACTGACGACTGCATACATATATACATAAGACAAGCGGATAAGCTACCTGGATTTAAATGAAATTTTTTAAAGGAAGGTTTGAATCTCTACAGCTTCTAATTAGAAGCATGTTTAAGAATACGAGTTATTGACTAGATCAACTCCAACAATTTGTTCCTCACATAGTATATTTGCTAGATGATGTATTGTAGGGCTTTTTATCTGCTTGAGTGCATAAATTCTAATGTATTGGTGTCTCGTTCTACCAGATGTACAAGGGGAAGGATTTGTAGTCGGATTGGGATTACCAATTGTAGCGTGGCGTCGAGTTGAGATTAACTATGAACACCGCTACCAAGACATACGTGCCAAATAGATCAGAAGGCGTAAGAAGCTCGTTCCAAATGACTCCATAAAATCCCCGAGAAGCCGAATACCAGAAGGCAATTAATGGACCAAGTCGATGTTTATTAGCTGGCGATCTCGTGGCATCGAAAGGATACCGAGATCGTGCCAGGATACAAGCTTGGTTACAGAACGTAACCAAATTCGCGCGAAGTTACAATCAAAGTGTAAGTAAGTGAATGAAAGAACAAAATAGCTGTCATTAGCACAGTCAAACAAAAGCACATTAAAACAAACACTGGTACAGTTGGTTATAATAATAATTGTTTTTATTAAACCAGTCGTGTTCTCGTGAT